GTGCGACGGGTTTGGCACAGGTTGGGGGGACCTGGCACGTGCGCACTGAGACCTCGAAGGGGCCGAGCGGCCATGGGGACGCTGCGATGGAGTCACTTGGCCCTTAGCCAAGGCAGATCTGCCTTGGCCCCCTATGTGACCTGGACTCCACGTGCTCACCCCGGGGATGGGACCGTTTCCAGCCCAAACCAAACAACCCGCTGGACTGCAAACACTCCGGCCGCTGGCGGGAGAAGGTGGAGCCGAGGAGGAGCTTCCCGCCACCGTGTCACTATATTAAACGTTCCCGGCGACGCACTGGCCTTGCCGCTGTCACAACCATTGGGTCGCCAAAATGGTGAGGGGCAGAACAGGAATGGGAACCACGCGGAAAATGGGAGAGTCAAATGTCTGCGACCCCTCCGGTGCCCGGCTCCCCAATGCACTCTTCCTCCCTCTTCAATGGGGGCTTTTTGGAGAAACCATTGGGAGTTGTGTGGAAAACACCTTCTTCCTGACCTGACCTTTGGATTGCAGATTCCTGGGGATTAACGTGTCTCTTTTAATGCTCTCTTTTCAGACCAGCTACACGGACAAGGGGGAGAAGGTAAGTGCGGCTCTGCGGGATGTGCTTGCTCACGGCTGCTTTGGGCCAGCACCCGCTGCGTTAACGCAAAGCCGGCAGCGTTAATTCTTCATTCTTTGATTACCTGGGAGGATTCAAAGTGCAATTGCTCCCTGGTTAGGCTGCATCGGAGGTGGTTCCTCATTGCAAATTGCACTGTGATGGAAATCTGTTGTTTTTGGCTTTTTAATTCTTGATGGTGATGGGTACTTTCCAGAAGAACCCAACGCCCAAGCAGAAGCTCAACCTGTTGCAATATTTCTTTCAAAACACTCTGCCTATTTGCAACTTTCTTTGCCCTTTAAACTGGGTTAATGTAAAGCCCTTCTGCCCTTTCCGAGTCCGTGCGATTGCGTCCGGCTCCTGGCCAGGGTTAAAGCAGCGTTGCACAAGGCAAAGGCTGCTATGGGGCAGGGGGCCCGCGGGGGGACCCCCATGCCCTTGGTCCCGGCCGGCACTTTGGAGGGTTAATCGTTAACGGCCCAAGGTTGGCAGAGACGGCGGGGGCCCGGGGGCCGGCAGT